TAGCATGAACTTTGCATCGATCAGTATCAAAAGCAGCTTAGAGGTCAGTGGATCGCCTGAGGTGCAATAAATCACTTGCATGTACCCAAATAAACTTTGAGTAAGCAGAAAGAAACATGAGATAAACGCACTGGTCCACTTAACGCAAGAAAAACGCTTAATTAATGAATGCAAAAAAATTTCAGTTGTACCCAAAGACGCGCCTATAAGCGCTCCGTCCTTCACTGCACATCAGTCAAGAACGTGAGGTGCGGTAAGTAATCACTGCTCACTCAACAAAGAAAAGCAGCTACAGAAATCTCCGAGCGACCCACGACCTGTGGGACAACAAAACAAGGTTTGTCGACTGTCATGATCACGAAAGCAACCCTCCATTGTGAGGTTTTGCGTTGCCTTGCTTGAGACACGCAGCGGAACGAATCTCGAGCTTCTGTGTCGGCGCCGCTCCTGTCGCGAGCATCTGTGGTGCCTAGCGCCGCCGCCGGCCACACCGGAGGATCTCGCGCCGCGGCAGCGTTATGGCCCCATTTGCCCCGACACCAGCAGGGCTCTTACCTGGCGCCTGTAACATATGGCGAATAATCAGCGTAATAGGAGTGTCTTGCCGGCAGTAATGGCCAGGTGCTCGCGTGGAAAAGAGAGCGCCGGTAGCGCCAGGCGTCGGGCATTTAGAATACGCTGCAGATATTCTGTCTGGAAACTTTTGTTGTGCAAAAGAAATCTGCTCGCAAATGGTTCATCGGAATCACGAAGGCTTTCTTGTTGCGGCTATTGCGAGCATTGGCTTGGCGGAATTACATTCCGTGAAGCCAATTCGCAGGCACTAGCATTGCAGGGGAGCAGTGCTGGAGGCATGTGAATGCATTCATTTGCGAGATGATAACAACGCGCATGAAACATCCGTGGACTTATTTTATGTTTATCGTTGTTGATGCATGCAGCTGTACTCGGGACCGGCGCTCCCAGCTCCCCTTCTCTGAAGTCAGCTGTCAGCGGCGACAACGGAATTTAAACCGCCTTCTCACGTCTACCTGCGCACGAAACCCACGCCGAAACGCGTCAAGAGCCATTTCCACGCGTGACGCCCGGCCAATCTGGCCTGAGCCGGAGGTGATCGGCTGCTAACCACCGCCCGGCCGGCGCGGCCCGTCCCTCGGCGGCATACCCGGCACTGAGCGGTGATGAAGGGGCATCACTGTCCGCTCCCAGCCCCGCTTTCCGACATGGACGAGCCGTGGGCGCACTAATGAAGGGTCTGGCCGCGGCCGGGTCGGCGCGGGTCACCAGAACACGGCCCGCTCGGGCCATCGCTGCGTCCTGCGTCGGCCGAACACTGGCGCGACCGCCCGTAAGGGCTCTATTGGCCGGGTGGGCCGGCGTCGTAAGGACTCTATTTACATGACGGACGGCGGTGCAGGGCGGAGCCGGCGCGGGTGGGGCGCACGATCAGCAGCGGCTGGGGTGAATAAGCGAAGTGGCTACAGCGCTTGTCGGCTGATCCGAGGGCGTTTTCTCAGTTGAACACACACGGGGCTTTATCTGGCGCTTCAATCACGCGCCCCAGACAGCCGGGCCACGCCTGGGAATCAGCCCGTCTCCCAATCAGCGTCATGTGCAGCTCCAGCCTCGGCCCCATCCCCAAATTTAGCCGCGGCCTCATCGCCCTCCGTCTCAGCCCGCTGCTCTCGACTCGCCTAACGTCATCCCCAAACTTAGCCGCAGCCGTACCACCCCCAGCTTCAGCCCCGCTGCTCCCGGCTCGCCTAACGCCATCCTCAAACTTAGCCGCAGCCGCACCACCCCCAGCCTCAGCCTCGCTGCTCTCAGCTCGCCTAACCTCATCCTCAAACTTAGCCGCGGCCTCACCACCCCCAACCTCAGCCTCGTTGCTCTCGGCTCGTCTAACGTCATCCCCAAACTTAGCCGCGGCCTCACCAACCTCCGCCTAAGCCCCATTGCCCTCAGCTCGCCTGACCTCATCTCCATCCTCACCTCCCCATCCCCTTCACCCTCAGCTCCGCTCCGCCGCGAGTCTCAGCATCAGTCCCGGCCGTAGTTCCAGCCCCAGTCTCAGCCCCAGCCTCAGCCTCAGTAGCCTCAGCCTCAGTCCCAGCCACCCCGCGTGGCCGGGGTGGCTGGGGCCGGCTCGGCCCCGGTTGCCCCGCCTGCCGGCCAGCTCGGCCGCTGATGAACGCCGCCTCCTCCTGGGAGCTGGCGGCGACCCCGCTGCCGGCGCAACAGGTGGACGCCGCCAGATCGGACACCGATACCGCTGACGGACGGCACGGCCAGCCGGCGGAGCGCGCCGCGCCGCCGCCACTCGGACCGCGCCGCCCGGCTCCTAACGGTGGCGGCGGACCGGCCGCGCACGCGCGCTGAGCGAAGCCAATTTACGGAGATCCGATCGGACTGGCAGCGGGTTCCTCGGCTTCTGCAGGGCGCAGCCGCCGGCTGGTCAGTAGCTCTTGCGCGTGCGAGGCAAGTGTCGATCACGAACACCATGCTGGCGTTTTACGGATGGGCGTGATTTACGCTGCTGCAGCCGCCAATAGCTCACTAGGTTATCGTACAAATCTGTTCATACGGTGCTGCTGTCTTGGAGATGCCCAATAACTTACAGATACAAGGTATCGTCGGAATATTTTCTCTGCAATAGCATTATGGGGCATCAGTTATTTCCGACAGGATAATGATGATTGCGCCGCATTGACGGACAGCTCACAGTGTTATTCCCACAAGCTCATCGACATAAAGACCGTTCCTGAAAACGACAACAGCATGGTGAATTGTACTAATCCCCCATACAAATATCCACGCCATAAGAAAACATGCGTTCGGGAGGCAGGCAGCATACTGCTCACATGATGAGGCAATATCATGATAATATTTGATGGAAGATGAAGTACACTATAGCCGAAAATCGCGCCTAACTGCAGATTATTCACATTCCAAAGGTCAGGCGAGTATGGCACCTCTGATATCACTGCATACCCAAATGCAAACACTCTTCATTTGAGTACGTAATGACCATACCATGCTGTGTCCCTGTTCGGAGTCCTTGTGTGGTGGGAAGCGTCTCACGATCATTTTCCTGATTGATCGAGTCTCCTCGTATTACAGGCACCTTGGTTGTCTGGTCGCATGTTCGCAGGGGCTGTCTCGGAATCGAGTTGGAACGAAGCATGCACTCAACGGAAGCTGGGCTGCCGTAACACATGTACCTCACATCTCGCAATTAATGACACGATTGTTTTTCCGTTGTTCAATATTAAAAAGCGAGAGACACGTTCATGACATCATTTCAGACATCACCGAAGCATGGTCATGCAAAAAACATGGCCCGCTGCCAGTCTTTTCTTGCCGCTTATACCTACACTTACACCTAGCTTCCATTCGACCTGGAGATCGGTTAGGATGTAGCGGAAAGTTGTTTAATTGGAAGCATCTTTTTTCGATTCTGAACGAGAATGTCACATAAGATGGTTCCGTCTTTTTTCTTCTCTCCGTTTTACTTCTTACAAATGATGATCACGGAGTTATGCCGTTCGATAATGTAGCACATTCTTTAGTCTCACACTAAATGGAAGGAAAAGATGAAGCGAAGTAAATAGATGAAACGAAGTAGCGAAGTTTGTTTTTTGGGAGTGACATCATGAGCATGAAAATCATGATATTTCCTTAGACATCACGTTTAAAAAGACCAACATTCTGCCTGCCAGAATGGATGTTTTGTAAAAAAGCCTGCCGCCCGTTGTCGCTGCCTGTCTTTACATGCGGGCGCGGCATCCCGTTATTGATTTTGCGCATGGAGAGGTCAGGACGTGTCTTGGCCTGGGGCAGTCAGGTCCTCTGTCCGTTGACTTCTGGCGCCCACAAAAACAGTCACAGCATGAGGCAGGCAGCCAGTGTGTGGTAAACAGGCAGGTTTTACCACGTCACCAAAGCCGCCCACACGTGCGCGTTGTGTTTGGACATGAAGCTACCACGCCAAATGACGACAAATGGTGTCTCGATCGCTCTGAAGTGTCATGTCAGTTGGGCAGGGCGGTCGTGGTGCAAAAACATGGGCGGCCCATAAGGAGCGCTTAGCTTTGCACCCAGCTGTGTCAGCTGCACCATCCATAACGTCGCTCTGACAATTCGTTAGTGCTGTGGTTTTTCTGTTGCGCATTTAGCAGTAGCCGTGTTCGGGATTGTCACCTGCGCTCACCTTGGGCACGCTACGCTCACAATGTTATTTGCTCTATTATCTATGATCTATGATTCGATGCTCTGTTGCTCTGCAATTGTTGACGACATGATGCGTTCGCTTGGGCGCACACAAAAGAAGGCTTCATTTTTTTAAAGTAATTTTTGGAAGTGGAGTGCATGTTACAGAAGTGCTATCAAATTCAGTCGTGTTTTGCTTATTCTAGCCAAGATGCCGCATCAGAATATTTCCCACTCTATCCCATTCGCTTGCTCCTTCTCTACCTGCATATCCTCTCCCCCCCCGCCACCCCCATTTTCTTCCCTCCCCTCCCTATTTCTCATCTTCCCTCCCTCTCCCCACCCCTCCTCTCCCCTCCTCACCCCCTCCATCCTCTTCCTTTCCCTCCCTATCTCTCCTCCTCCCTCCCTCTCCCTCCACTGGACCACCGAGCGAGTTGATGCGGTTATCTCGATGTCTCTTTTCTATCTCCTTCCTCTCTCCTCTTACCCAGCTCTTCTTCCCCTCATCTAACGGCCTAGAGCTGGTGTCTTTTACTTCGATGTTACCTTACGCCCGCCCTCTCCTGCCCACCACCTCCTTCCTTCCCCTGCATCACTGAACGATTTGGTGCGACTGATCTCAATCTCTCTCTCTCTCTCTCTCTCTCTCTCTCTCTCTCTCTCTCTCTCTCTCTCTCTCTCTCTCTCTCTCTCTCTCTCTCTCTCTCTCTCTCTCTCTCTCTCTCTCTCTCTCTCTCTCTCTCTCTCTCTCTCTCTCTCTCTTCCCTCCTCTCCCTTCCCTGCCTCACCGGCCGAGTTGGTGCGGTTGATCTCGATGTCGACGCTGGTCCGTCGCAGCATGGCCATCACGGCTTCGGTGTCGTTCTCTCGCACGCTGTCGTCGAACACCACCTCATCCGGGAACCTGACCCGGCGGCGACCCGGGTTCTGCCTCGCGAACAGGCTCGCCCGCCGGCTCATGCCGCGTGGGGTCCGACCTGGAAGGCAAGGGCCGGTCAGCGGGTGATATGGGGGTGTGGGACGGCCGGGGGCTGATGTGAGGAGCAGGGGCCGGTCAGCGGCTGATATGGGGGTATGGGACGGCCGGGGGCTGATGTGAGGAGCAGGGGCCGGTCAGCGGCTGACATGGGGGTATGGGACGGCCGGGGGCTGAGCTGACGTGAGGTGACATGGGGAACAGGGAGGTCCGACCTGGGGCGCAGGACTGCTCAGGGCTGACATGGGGAAAATGGGTCGGTCAGGGGCTGACACGTAGGTACAGGAAACAGTAAAAGGTTGCCGTGGGAAGGGGGGGGGGGGGGCAGCGGAGTGTCAAATGTCCGACGTGGAGGATAGGATTCTACTTGGGACTGACATGGGGGTCAAGATGTCAGCGTGGTTTCTTCAATAAACTGACATACGGTCGATATTACACTTTCGGGGCGAGTGGACCACAGCCCCTCCCCCAAATTGTTCCCAAGTCAACGGAGCGACTATCGAGCGATGCCACGGGGAGGGGAGCTAATCAGGAGACTAGGGGCGCCCTTGGCTTCGTTTCTGGATCACATTACTTATCCTTAATTGTAGATTGTATTCCGGCTCAGGAAATATGCTTTCATTGGCTTTAACTGTCACTGACTTTTAGCTGGAGACGGGGGATGTGAATGTGATTTCAGCTGACACCACTGCCATCACCTTCTGCATAAAAACGAGCAGCGGCCATCTGTTGTTGTTATTATTCGAGCTTTCTGACGCACCCAGCTGCTGAGGCTATATGGCTCGCCTGTCTCTCACCCTGGCAGGAAGGGCGGGCACCGTGAGAAATGAACTTCGTATCTCTGGTCTCCCAGACGCGCAGCAGTTAACGCAGACGCGTTGACCAATGCATTACCGGCACCCGATCAGTGACCATCAAATGCGGTGGAACATCTAAGTCGGCCGAGTAAATACGAAGGGTCTATTGGTCGTTACGAAAAGGTGCCACGTTTCCCCTGTGGACGGAAGTAATTTGAAAACCCCTGACACTGACGCTTCAGATATGCGCAACAACAGGTTTCCACGAAGTACTGACTGCCGAGAAACGTATGGCCCGTCCGCACACAGCTGAAAAGTTGTCAAGGGTCATGTTTTTCCATTCTTTTTTGCGCCAATCAATCTTCTCTCCCTCAAAATATTGTGCCGTATGCCGAAGATATGGTATGCTGCTATATGAACTGTAAGCGGTCATGTTGGAACATAAAACGATTTGGGCGCAGCAGAAACGTCTGCTACCTTTTTACCGACTCAAGATTTCGAGGTTGGAAAAACGCATAAACTAGATTATCCGCCTAACCCATTGTTATCATGAGCTTGTTGTACTCATTGAGCCATACGGTATGCCCCTCAGTAATCAGCTGTCTATCTCAAGCACTGATAATTGCATGCCCGCCGAAAGGTTCAATAAACAACGCACTATATGAATCCTGAAGTGAGCACGTTAAAGGCAACATATACCCACACGAGCCGTCGAGTACGGAGCGATGTGATAGACTGATCACGGGCCAATCTCCTCCATCGCCATGGTTTGTGTGAAAGGTTATGTGCTGTATCGGAACATGCATCGAATCAGGCACATTGCATGCGCGATAGTGCTGGCTGCTTTCATCTGATAATGAGAGATACGATCCCGTACCAGACCCCGATAGCACAACAGTCGTCTCATGTGGCCATCCTGCGTGTTCTCCCCCCCTCTCTCTCTCTCTCTCTCTCTCTCTCTCTCTCTCTCTCTCTCTCTTTCTCTCTCTCTCTCTCTCTCTCTCTCTTGCTTCATCCATAAGTTTCATGCTATTTGAGCTAACAAGCCAATTTTGCACTTTTTCAGCTTTTGGCCGGTAGAGTGCGAGCCTTTTAACAAACCAACTCAGCCCCAGAACTTCTCCCAGCTTTTCAGAACACAGCCTTTAATTGATCGAGTTGAGAAACAGTACTGTTCCATTATCGCCCGCACAACGCCGGCTATCGATAAGCAGGGATCCAGCGGAGGAGTGGAGCGACATTTAACGCCACTGACGGCGACACGGGGCGGGTCAAGCGGGACGCCGGGCTCCGTGGGGCCTCTGAAGCCCACGCGGGCGGGCCCAGCCGACGCGGGAGCGGCCCAGCTGGTCATGACGACTATCAGCCAAGATAGGCACGCGGACGAGTGTTGGGCTGCTGTTGTGGAAATGCACCAGTCGATTGCGAGGTAACGGGAATGGGTCTATACCAGTCAAGATGTTCCGCAGCAAATGGGCGTATAATGCCCACTCTACTACGTCAGTATGTTGGCACGAAATGAGGGTAAGCTTTAAGGGATATAGATTGACGTACTTAAATAAGGGAACATAAAATATATCACGCGGCCCTGGCCGTGTATTGCCGCTTTCGTGGCAACGAGTGATTATAACTATGAGGTAATGCTTGCCTAAGCCTGTTAGTTGAATAGCAATAGGACTCTATTGGACAATGGAACGTTGTGGCGAGTCCGTGATAAAGGTTACTAAAATCTTCGGTTTAAGACAATCGCCCATCGCGCGTGAAGTGAACCGCTCTTGCGATAACAGCGCCATTTAATGATGCTGTTAAGTGGTAAGGATAGGATTTGTTTGTCAGTGGTAAGGATGATATTTGTTTGAACCAAAGAACGCAGACAAACCCTGTATAAGCTTACTTTTTCTTCATCACGATCAAGAATCCCAGCCCGTTATTGCGGCTTCTCTCTCCACCACGGCTGTTCGGCCTTGCGGCTCCTGTCTCTACCGCGGCTGTTCGGCCTATGCGGCTCCTGTCTCTAACTCGGTTGTACGGCCTTGCGGCTCCTGTCTCTACCTGTCGCGGCTGTTCGGCCTATGCGGCTCCTGTCTCTACCGCAGCTGTTTGGCCTATGCGGCTCCTGTCTCTACCGCGGCTGTACGGCCTTGAGGCTCCTGTCTCTACCGCGGCTGTTCGGCCTATGCGGCTCCTGTCTCTAACTCGGCTGTACGGCCTTGCGGCTCCTGTCTCTACCGCGGCTGTTCGGCCTATGCGGCTCCTGTCTCTACCGCAGCTGTTTGGCCTATGCGGCTCCTGTCTCCACCACGGCTGTTCGGCCTATGCGGCCCCTGTCTCTACTGCGGCTGTTCGGCCTATGCGGCTCCTGTCTCCACCGCGGCTGTTCGGCCTATGCGACTCCTGTCTCTATCACGGCTGTTCGGGCTATGCGACTCCTGTCTCTACCGCGGCTGTTCGGGCTATGCGAATCCTGTCTCTACCGCGGCTGTTCGGCCTATGTGACTCCTGTCTCTACCGCGGCTGTTCGGCCTTGCGACTCCTGTCTCCACCGCGGCTGTTCGGCCTATGCGACTCCTGTCTCTACTGCGGCTGTTTGGCCTATGAGGCTCCTGTCTCTACCGCGGCTGTTCGGCCTATGCAGCCACTGTATCTAACGTGGCCGTTCGGGGCATGCGTGGAGGGAACAGGCCTTCCGCCAGGGCACCGCTGGTTATGATAAAAATGCTGTTGAGAAGGTTAAGAGCGTAATGAGCGAGAACGTGCAGGCAGCTTTAAAGTCGGCTTGATGCAGAAGAGCTGCAACAGACTGAGATATGCATCTTCGAGCACGCATTTGAGAGGTGGGAGGGGGGGGGGGACTTGATGAAGAAGCCGCCAAGGTGGTGCTATGATCTTCGAACCCAAAGCGCAGTTGTTTCTACTTGGCACGGAGAAGGCCTGGTCAGAATCTCAGCTGGCCGGCGATTTCCTCTTCCAGAATACCAAAAGCAAAGGAACTTGCGGTTGTGGTGAGTTTTTTTTTGGTGAAGTCCAGAACGCGGTGCACGGTGTCCAGTATTTATGTAGGCAGTGCGATAATGAAGTGTGAACATGCCTGGTGCGCTAACAATGCGGATCGATTACATTCCCGCTGCAGCCGTGCGGGTCTTTCTAAATGGTCGTCAACGTGCTAGATCTGTGACTCACGTGGGTCTGATGAGGATGCCGCTTCATTAGGCCGTAGCATTGTGTAAGCGTATCACGCAGAATATGGTCAAGTACAGCAACGCACGCTTGATTTTACCGGGCGAACTCCATCTTGGTCTGTGCATACCTTGATGTGTAATGGAAAGAGGACAACTGTCCTCGATGGGGATCGAAACCATGCACGGTGTTCCCAACCACCGTCTCTTGTGAGCGCAGCGTGTCATCATATCACCAGCGTGCCAAGAGACGATAAAAAGAATGGGCTATTTTGGCGAATACCACTCCTGACAGCAATGCCACTAAGGCATGTGGCACCATTGTTGAGAAAATGTCTCTAACTGAATATCAATGGGGAACGGTTTGATCAATGGCAATCCGCAAGCAAATGTGGCTTCTTTTTCAGCACTGTGGCCATATGTAGTACTCCACAGCAGTTTTCGTTTGCAGTTGTACTGCGCATGTCACCACCACGGCACCTTAATCTCATTGGCATTTAAGTCGCAAATCACCAGAACCAAATAGTGACCACTTGTGGATAACCATCCTCACGGATAGCCATGCCAGAACAGAATCGTCGTCGTGTGTCTCCGGTTCTCCACAGCTTCGCGGCGCCCGTCACCACTACGTGGCCTGCTTCCCTGTAGCAGCTAGCGCAGCTGTGTGTGAGCTGTTTGGCGGGCCAGCCGGGAGCAGCAGGTCTATTCGTAAGTCAAACGGCTAAGGAGCGTGTCAGGAGGCGGCGGTTCGTGCACGTCGGTGCCCTGCACACGGCATTTGAGGCCGTACAGCAGGCCATCCGTACGTGCCGACTGAAAGGGCGGTCTATACGCGGTGCATATCAACGCTCCGATCGCGCGCGCGAGCTATGTGCCTTGCTGTGTCGGGTACGTGTCGGATACGATAGCGTGTCGGATACGGGTACGGCTGGAGCAAAGTTGTAGGCTTAAGAGCCGCTTAACTGGTAGAAAGAACTACGCAGTGTGGAGAAGACCTTCCCAAGCGTAGAATGCGGCGTGATTCAGTCACGCAGGTGGTTAACAACATTAGAGCAAAGGAACGGAACAGGGTGAAACGCAGAAACCGTGACAGGTAGTGTGATGCATTAAGTCAATCCGTTATACGGTTGCAAACGATGCGTCAGCTGGGTTGCTTGCTCGTTAATCAACCACCAGGTGCAAGATTTATCACAAGCGCTGCGTAATGGGTTCGATCCGTAATAAATCTGTTCGTTCTGAGGCCTTGTTACGTTGCTCATCAGTTGGTTTCATTTGCTCTAGTTGTGCTTTGAGGCGTTTAATGACTGTCCGACATGGAACAGTTACCTTCCTGTTAATGGATTTTCCCTTCAATGAGAAAGCTTAGATGGCGAACGTTAGCCAAACGCACTTTAAGGAAGTCTCTCCCTCCTTCTGTCATAAAAACACTAATAACTGCCACCTGAATTCAGCCCCCCTTTCATAAATATTCTATACAAAGGTGATAAAAGACACGGATGAAAAGCAGCGAAATGAGTCAGTTTATTCCCAATCCTCTTACGGCAATATTTTGATTAAACGGTCTTTTTTGCGAGACATGGTCTGAGCGGAAATCCTTCTTGGCTACGCTAAATGGAGTAGACCTCCCAGTAGTCCGTTAGTGGTACCGACCTACATAGTGCGAAATGGAACATGGTGCCAAAGGAAAACTTTTAAGATGCTGAATAGGGTTTCGGCGTGATAAGGAGAACAGCATTCTCTCAGTCGCAGGGACTTGAAAAGGCTCACAGCAACATGAGAACCGTTTTAGTTTTCATTCAAACAAAGTTGTTACGAAATAGCATCAGCCACGCTGTTCTTGGCATTCGTATCAGCAGCTTCATCGGCTTTCAGGAACTCTAGAAGAAAACAAACGTCTCGTCCGAGGTGTTCATCAGCCTTTGTCATCGCTAATCGTGATAAGTAATTCCAACCGAGCTCAAAACGGCAATGAGGCGGGTGGAGTGACTCATCCAGCTTACGGCAATTATTAGCAGTAACACTTTGTTCTGAAACATTACATTAAACGCAAGCCAGTCTGTTGTATGAATGCCCCAAACCTTGCATGCAAATAAGGAGAAATGAAAACTGCTTACCGAGAGCAGTCGCGGCAGCGACTATAAAGAGCACAACAGCCGAGCAGGGCAAAGTGTGGTCTTCCACACGCACTGGCACCAGATCACGTGACCAAATTTGCGACCTCCTGCCTCTCCTCTTGTGCACGGACGGTGTGTAGAGCTGACTATTTTGTTCGGGACTCCTCAGCGGTCAGGTGAAGCCAGCATTCCAAACCGCGCGAACCTACGCGGGTGTACCATGGAGCCGTTCTGCGGCCTCCTCACCACTCGACACTGTTGCCACCGTCGCCGCCGCCCTCCCCCACCGCCCGAATCCGACTGACTAGCGTCGCGTCCCGGTGCGGCGCCGCCGCCACCCCGTCCACGGCCCCGGCACCACTGACCGACCGGCGCGCTCGGTCCGACGGCCCGACCGCAACGCGTCGCGCGTCCCGCCGGAGCGGCGGCGTGCCCCGCTCCCGCCCCCGCGCCCGCCCTGCGCCCCGCCCGGCCGTTTTTCCCGGCCTCGCCACAATCAATAATGTATCGGCGAGTCTGTTATGGAGAGCTGCCGCCGTCCTGCGCTATCGCATCGGCCAGGCGCCGCCCGCAGTCCGGGCAAAAACGCCCCCATCGCTCTGCTGCTCCCCAGCGAGCCACCGATCCAGCCGGCCGACACCCCCGCCCGTCGGCTCCTTCACTCCGCTGCCGCCGCGCCCAGCGCGATAATACGCATGGGGGTGGCGACGGGCGCGTGGATGCGGCGGGGCACGGAGACAGAGCGTGCGCTTTTTGTGGCTCTAATCTAGCCGAGTGGGGAAGGGGCACGGAACTCATCGTCCTGTTGGAGCCTGAGCTACGGCGCTTCTCGCCGCTGTCGGCTCTAACCCGGGTAAGGACCCGGGGCTTGTGATTGTGGGGAACGGACGCACACGCTCGCCGGAGGCACGTACGTCCGCTCAGGTGAGGAAGTGCGTAAGTTTCGCATAACTGCTCGGAACACTTCAAATAAGATTTCGCTTCAACAAGTATTCCAAAGACGAGAACTCGCATCTCTCCAGCATTGGAGAGATCACATGGCTTGCGGCCTAAGCCACGACTTTCACATACCTGACATGCGCATAATTAACATGCACATACCATTTAAGGCAAGACATACTTAGAATCCACCCATCCATAAAATAAGCGTTATTTTCACCCCTTTATCCTTTATTTCTTGCTTCTCACTTGGTGTGTTGAAGCCCATATTTTCTGCAGAGACGTTGCTGCTTTGTGTTTGATTGTTATTTCTTGTTTTGAACAATGTGTTCATGTCATATCCACGCATTGACCCGACAGGTATACATCAAACAGTCATGATTAATTGCTTATCTTTATCAGGTCACATGGCGCTAATGGGCCACCAGATGATGTCCCTCAGATATGAATTGTCACAAAATATAGCTAAGACGCTATCACTTCTTCGAGCCTTGCAAGTTTTATCAACCCTCTTAGTGGATCATTCTGTATCAAAGCTTGGTCACAGGCATGACAAGGGCAAAGATACACTGCTCATGAGTATAACCACGGGGCTGAGCGTCAGGTTTTCTTGCCGATGTGAAAAGACTTAACTGTACGTACAAGCTCATATTCGAAACATACCACGCTATTCATTCTGCATCCATTGCATTCTAGGTAAGTTTTCGATCCATTTCATTGCTTTACAATGAGATGTCAGTTATATTTGAGCTATGGCTAATGTAACACGAGGTCTCAGAATGTAAGGCGAAGTCTACATAGCGTCACCGAGTCCACATGGCGGAGCGCTTACCCTTTCAGTGACGCTCGTGATTTTGTTACATCAGCAGATGCAAAGGCATAAGGTGCATACGTGCATGTGGATTTTGTTTTCACGATATTCCGTTGTACATATGACATCATCTTCATGTTCCCTGGAACTCCCAGAGAATCTAGAAGCAAGTTTCTGAGGAACAGTCTTGAAATACAGGACTGATGCTTCTGGTTTGCGTATGAATTGCTTTGGAGCAGGATTCGGATCGCAGTAAACTGGCCATTTGCTTTTTCACCTGGGGATAGCATACATGTCCAACGTGGTTCAGAGTTGCAGTATCTCTAAAAAAAAAAAACGGTATTCGATGGACATACATCAAGCAGCCAGCCAGCCGGTCTTTTTAGAGATTCCGCCATCATTCTTACGGGACTTACGCGCTCCGAGCGGCCCTGGCTTGAAAGTCTACACTTAGTTCCCCGAAGAAATGTTCCAAGTGGTAGGCTGAAGACTTTTATTGGAAAATAAAGTAATGTATTTATCAATCTTGCACATCCGCTTTGAGCGTTCAATTGGAGATACGGTAGTTTGTGCCTGATATATGTAAGAAAGGTCTTAAGCCCCCGATTTTTCAACTTGACTAGTTCTTGCGCTGAAATTAACCAGCCTTCAGCATGCTGAGAGGTACTTACCTGCATGAACCCTCGCCCTGATGGGGGGGAGGGGGGGGGGCGGTCAATACAAACCTTTAAGGTTCTTTGAAGACATCTTTCCGGTGTGTTAGAAAACCGCACCTGAATTTTCAGTAATCTATCTGGAATCTGCCGCGCGTGTTCTTACATGCTTTTTTGGTTTCGAGGCAGCGGCAGTTTTTTAGCCACACCGGCGATCCACGGCCTGAGTGGGCGGATGGTCGACAAACGACGATGACTTGAAGCGCGCGTGGCAGGCCGACATTGTTACATTAGTGAAACAATATATCATAGATCTCTAGATCTCATAGATAGATAGATCTATCAAGGTCTCAGCTCTATCTTCATTAGTCTAGAAACGCAATGGAGGGGGAGGGGGAGGGCGCATCAACCCCCTTCCTATCAGTCCGCGTTTTGGAAAACGGCAAACCAGAGCGGGGTAGGGCTCAAAACCCTAGACGCGCAAAAGGCAACATGTTCCAAGTATGTGCAGACTGGCAGTAAAAATACTTCAAATATAAATAATCCAAATAGACCATTCAAGATCTCACGTATAAATATCCAAACAGGGGCTGTAAAACAGCCGAAATGTTCATATAGACAACATCATTCAACTAATGTCAGAATAACTGTTGTTGCAAAAAAGCAGGCACACTGGCCCAACATGATGGGGTCGTACAATCACAAATGCAGTCTTCCTCCATCCTCGGGTTTTCTTCTTTTTCTTCCACCCTCGGCGAAGGACCTCGACAGCCAGAGCAGCTGGGTACATGGCAAAATTCCAGCCGGTGGCAGGTAGTACTGGGGGATGTCATAAAACATGCAGGCCCCCTCGACTCCAATTGTCTACCACGCCTCAGGCATGATCCAAGCCTAGCGCGACATGTGTTGTCTATCGATGCGCTACAGCAATCGGTATATGCAAGTCTAAACTGGATTTCTAGGCTGCCTAGAAAGGAAGGAGCAATATATTTGGTTCCAGGTTCGGCTCATATTGAGGTAAGGGTGCATCGGGGTCACAGAAAGGTGGGATTACAGAGCTGCTTGAGGAAAACAAATACCAGTTGTTGCATATTCTTGTCGCGCTACGCAAAATCCCTCTCTAAAAAACACAAAACAAAACAACAAAAGCAATCATTTGCGGCTGCGGTATAGCTTAAGAAGACTGTTACATGCTTTGACGACCCGAAGGTTCCAGAAATTCCGGGCTCAGGTTCACTTATTTCCCGCCGTTTGAACAAGGAAATGACATGCATTTCCACCGACACGAGACAAACCAGCTATCGAAGCCTGTCCGTCTCTGTTACCTTTTGTGTACAAAATCTCGACCGTTCGTTTTTTATTTTGACGCACCGACGGCACAAAATTGTTAGTTTTGTTGAACTCATGCATCTGTCCCTATCTGAACCATTGAACCACATTGAACCATTGAACCTATCTGAACCACTTGAAGGTGTTTTACAATTGCACGCAAATACAGCCGCACAGACATGCGCACCGAACATTGGCGGGCAATGCCCTTGTGAGCCGCACCTCAAGATGTTTTCTGCCCAGAATGTCCTAAGGATTTGCTTAATACGTGATTAACAGCTAACAGATTAACAGATCGAGCTCGTTTTTTGCCCTTGACAAGCATGGTCTGTAGAAAATACACTAATTCGTCGTCACCGAAGGGAGCGACCAACTGGATGGGATGATCATGGGATGATCATCAAAGCCCCATCCCATGATCGTTCCAAGATCATGGGATGGGGCTTTAGAAAGATGCTATCGGGGCGTAAGGCACGTTAAATGGTACTTACGAAAAAGATTGCTAGTGTTGTCTGATGAAATGTGTTACCGTTGAAACGCGGGTAAGGTTGCGCAATGCCCGCTGCGATATTTGTGGTCGCCGTCATCAAAACTGTCGGCCGAAAGCGTTTTTGGGATAAAACGCCGTGTCAAAATATATTTTTTGTCGCCGACCCTATACGCCAAGTCGGCAAGATTTACCGCTGTGTCCAACACACAGTATTGTGCTTAAGGTGGCTCAGATGACTAGTACCGCACTGACGACAAGGTCAGAAATGCATTTTTCACGGACATTAGGGCGGTTTTTCAAGCTCCTACTTCTAACCACCGGATACACGGTACCGTGCCGCGGAGTGCCTGAAGCACAGGTGACTAACCCGAAAGGTTTGAACGACCCATACCGGGTATAAGGTCGAAACAATACTTGCTGAAGGACATCAGCGTGTTAAGCAACAATTAGAGGGCTATGTCTGCGCTGGCTTTGCTGAAAAACGCGAGTCAAATTTTTGATTGGCCTCAAGTACAAATATCATTAAAGCCGGATGGCCACCGGTAGAGTTTGAAAAAGCAGATAGGGCATCGTCTGATTGAATCCCTTCTTACCATCGCTGATCTGTAGTTCGGTTGGTATTTGTGGCTCCAGGGTCTGAGCTATTTGTACCTTGGGTCATGTACATGCGTAGTAATTGTGGCTTCCGAGGCGCAACGGGCGTCATGCCGACTAACGATGCAATGGTTCAAAAGTTTTTTCAAGGGTTTCATCTGAATGTGGTAATGTGAGGTACGAAATTCTGAGACGATCTGCAATTGCAACGCGTCTAAGACTGGCAGCGACCCTAGGTACGACTACCGCGGATTATAAATGATCATCACGGCGCTAGCGCCCTCTTGGAACGGGAGCTTCTTTTGTAGCCAATAGACGGCGCTAATGGTCAAGCAGCTCGTGACTCATAAGCAGTTACTTTTGGGCATCGTTTGGTGTAAATGGTTGGGGGAGGGGGGATGGGTGAGGAAGGGGGTGGGTGGGAGTGAATTAAGGTTCCGATAACCTAACCTCCCCCAACCTCACAACAGATTCAGCGCTCTCTGTTTTTATCAACGAC